GTTTTGTAATCTTTGTATAATCTGAACATACAGGTCCCTGGATATAACATTACAGCAATCGTTGTACATAAAATCGCAGATATGATTTTTTTAAAATATTTGTGAAAAGAAAAACTCCATACAGCATGCAAATATACATTATTGTACATTAAATAATGTGGTAAAAACAATTAAAATGAAATAGGTGAAGACAGCGAAAAGTTATTGATCTCAATAAACCTACAAACAATATAAATATTTGAACAGCGACTAAAACACGGACTCCTGGAAATTCCAGAGGTGGGTCAGGTGCCTTGGAGGAGTAAGCATCCCCTTTCGACTAGTCACACTGGTACCCGCCTTGAGCCCTGTCTTTTTGATCGGGAAGATGGAGTAATCTGTTGTCAAATTAAGTTTAAAAAAATAAAGACCTAACAATTCTGAATAACATTTTTTTCTTTTATAATTTACATTTGCAAATATAAATAAATTTGTATACTATAGGTACAGTTTTTTATTTAGTGACCATAAGGATACCATTAAGGAAGATATCAACAGAAGGGAACGTGAGATTTTATTTTTGCGTAAGACTGATACAAGACTAATCACGTGCTCTGACGTATAATGTACATATATCTTCATAAAAACCAAAATATTAACCATACATTAATTAAATAAATAATGCGTATATTTATGTATTACAGAAAGAATCAATTACTTCAAAAAATTTTGGTCCCTAAATTTGTCTATTAATCACAATTTAACACAATAAAATACTTCCAAATAAAATATTATGTCTGTTGATTGATAAATCTTAAGTAATGTTACGTAACTCGATGCCCACCATTTTGAAACGTCTTATTTGCCATTTACATGACCTTTTCATTATTCATAAACAAAAGATGGTTAACGTTCAATTTATGTAACTTAAAATTATATATATTATACAATCTCTTATAAGCACTTTAAAAAATGCTCTACATCTCATTGTCACAAAAACGGAAGGTATTGGCCACGCATTTTCACGGTTAATGTATCAATACCACTGTTCATTGTAATACAATGTATAATCTTTACTTAAATAAAATGTCTAGCGGTGTAAATGCATAAACAAAATTTTTTTTTAATCATGCTTGCGCATTCTTATCATAGATATTTTGTGTGCACTTTTTTTTAAAATTTTAAAATCAAGATGTTGCGGAAGTAATCGCTATACTAATATATGTACAGTGGAATAAATTTGGTTGTTCGCTAACATACTGAATGATAATTATATCAGCGATGTTGATTTGACTGGCTTATTTTAAAAAAGAGAACAAAGAAATATCAATTTTAGATCTTGAAAATGTTATGATAATTTACATTTTCCAATATATAATATTCAAACAATTGATGTGCGAAATACTCAGTAATCTCAGAATACTCAGTATTGGTGAATGATCTTATCATGTAGCTTAACTAAAGGACAAGTTTCATCATTTCGTAATTAAGTCAAGGTCGGGTAGAAATAATTGCTTGATACTTGTGGTTTCAATCTTAGAATATTGCCTTAATATGTACAAAAAAGCTCAGTAATTTAAAACGGTAAATAAAGCCAAAAGCTTACCTTGGCCTGTTCCTACTAAGGAATTCACAAGACAAGTGTTTACTCTCTGTCTAACTTGCAATGTTTCTTTCAGTATTTCCTTACCAATAGTATTGGTTAGCACAGTAATTTCTTTATATTACTTTAATGACGTCATGGAGTACAGGTATATTTAATAAGTGTTTAGTTTTATCGATAATTTACCCAGCCACAGCGTAATATTGTATAAAATCACTTCTATCCTGTCCCCTTAGATGGGATTTCCCCTTTTCATTCTATTTTGTTTAGATGCGTATCTTTGCACACCGGATCCTGTAATTCTATCAGGTGATTCTCAATACCTTTGAATGAGATATAAACAATATCGGCGATGGGAAGGTACACCGAAACTTTGTAGCTACTGATATTGAATCTATTACACGATTCGCACAACCTATTTTTGATGAATTACTAAGTTACTTGTACTAAATACCCTTATTGAGGGGCGCTACGTAAGCCTGTATATAGAAAATGGAGATTTTTTTTTTCTTTATTTGAAAAGCGTGATTTTACAAAACATTCGAGACGTGTAAATATTGTGTTGCTTGCCAGAATTTATGTCCAGTGATAAAAGAGTGTAGTACATGTATACATACTAATTATTTCTCCAACATCTTTAAGTGTCAATCTTTATGATTCTGATTCAGGGATCGATTACTCGCTTTTATTTGACCGAACATGTATTTTTTTTATAACTCCGCAAAGGACGTTTGATTTGCATACTTGAATCACCGTATTTGTCTTTAGAAATCTTTTTCCCGGCGATGATATCAAACTGCTCCATATGTTTGTTTGTTTTTAACTTTGTACAATGAAGATATACTACCTTAATCTGTTCACGATATCTTGAGATTGATTTGTCAATTTAAACAAAAATTGAATTTTAATATTAATATATGTTTTTTTTTCCAGAAATTACGAAATCAAAGAAGGGTCAAATATTAAAAATGAAAAAAAGTCGTTATTTCGAGATAAAAAGTCGTAAGGACGAGATAAAAAAATCGTTACTACGACTTACGAAATCATAATAACAAGATAAAAAGTCGTTACTGCGAGATAAGAAATCGATAAATAAATTATATTGAAAATGAAAAAAAAAAAAATAATAAGGTGTTGTTATTACACGAGATAAAAAGTCGTAATAGCGAGATAAAAAAATTGTTATAACGACTTAAGAAAGTCACAATAAGGAGATAAAAAGTCACTATTACGAGATAAAAAGTCTTTATTGCGACATAATTAAGAAAGTCGTAATAACGAGATAAAAAGGCATTATTACGAAATAAAAAGTCGTTATAACGACTTAAGAAAATCGTTAAAACGAGATAAAAAAATCATTATTACGATTTACGAAAGTCGTAATAACGAGATAAAAACGACTTTTTATCTTGTAATAATGACCTTTTATCTCGTTATAATGACCTTTTATCTCGTTATTACGTCTTTTTAAGTCGCAATAACGACTTTTTATCGTTATTACGTACGACTTAATTAGGTCATAATAACGACTCTTTATCTCGTAATAACAACTTTTTATCTCGTTATTATGACTTTTCATCCCGTTATTACGACTGTCTTAAGTCGTAATAACGACATTTTATCTCGTAATAACGACTTCTTATCTCGTTATTACGACTTTCTTAATTATATCGCAATATCTTTTTATCTCCTTATTGTGACTTTCTTAAGTCGTAATAACAATTTTTTATTTCGTTATTACGACTTTTTATCTCGTGTAATAACGACACCTTAATTTTTTTTCATTTTTTTTTCATTTTCAATATTTGACCCTTCTAGGCTTTAGTAAGAAATATAACCCCCCCCCCCCAAAAAAAAAAAAAAATATTGAAGGAGTATCAGAAGGTCATACATGACATATAGTTGATTGTGACCAAGAGCTAGGTATTTTATAAAGTCAGAATTAATAACATCATTGGTTTACGTCCTTTTACCCGGTGTTTACTGAAAGGTGCCCCCAATCCCAAAAAAACTTTTCAAAAAAAAAAACACATTCAATAATAAGCAAACTATTTACTAATTAACTGAGAAAGAAAGTTAATCTGTGTTCAAATTCTTTCATTAATAATATTATCAAGTAAAAACAACAAATCAAAACCAAAATGCGATTTTAACCACAATAAAGGGTGAAGCTCCGACAACTTAAAACTGTGAAATATGACAAATAAATGAAATTTACAGCATAATGATGAATTCTAAAACTTCTTATAACGAATTAAATTCGTTAATTTGTTATAACAAATTAAATTAGTTAAAACGATTTCGACAAATCGTTATATCGAATTCATATATACTTTTATATAGGATCCGACTGTTGAATTTGATAAAACGAATTTAATTCGTTATAACAAATTTTAGAATTTGTTTAAACAAATTTTAGAATTCGTTTAAACAAATTTAATTTGTTATAACAAATTCTAGATTTCGTTTAAACGAATTTAATTCGTTATAACAAATTTTTGAATTCGTTTTAACGAATTCAATAAATTTGCTTTAACAGATTAAATTCGTTATAACGAATTCAAAGAAAGTGTTATAGAGAATTAAATTCATTATTACAAATTCAAATTCGACAATTCAAAAATATTTTTTGATAGGTCCTAAATGGACTTCCGTAGATTTGTTTTAACAATGGAGAAACTCCCATAAAACTTCTCATTCTAGGAATTTATACTGCTACTTAATGGATAGATTATTCGGATCATACTGGAAATAAGTTCTTTGTAAAAAGATATGACTTGAACACCATTTTCTCTATGGTCACCCGACTAAACGACCAGAGGTGTAGCGACCTTCATCCAATTATCACCCAATTATTTCTTTTCTGCAAAACTCAGAGTATGGGAATTAGCAATAAAATTTTGTTTTGCTCGCTCTTGATGCATACGAATGGCCCACAACATCTACGAAAGTACATGCTTAATAACGAGAAAGATTTTAATTGGCTTATATATCCTTCTTGTTGGCGTTTGAATAGAACATTATAAATATATATGTAATCATTTAGAGTTATTAAAGAATATATAGAAATGTTAAACACCTTATTACCTTTATTTTCAAACAATGCAAAATTGATTATTAGTGACATAATATGTCACTGCATCGCAAGATCTTTTCAGCGGCTCTAACTTGTTGGTGTGTCGTCTTCTTTTTTCTTTAAAGTGCTGATACCATTTTAGTATTTTCGCACTTGATACTTCCCGGGTGTAAGGGGTGAGTGTCTATTTATAGTGCTAGTAAAATCTAAAAAAAAAAAACAAAACAAAAAACAAACAAAACACACACACAAACAAAAACAACAACAACAAAAAAAAGGATAAAAACACGCGTTTGTTCAGTGTGCTGCAGAGCTAAGTCTTAAAGTTGTCCACTATCTAACCTGACAGCTGGTTCCAAAGCATTGTTGCTTGGGGGAAGAATGAAGAGTGGTAAACTGTGGTCCCTGGTATAAGGAACCACATAGTGTGGCCTCTTTCCACAATGACGTACGCTGTAGGTGTTGATCAGCTGGAATGTCTACTAGGTGGTATACAATGCTGTATAACATAACTAGTCGTGTTGTATCTCGTCGTTGTTTAAGAGTTTGCCACTGGAGCTGTTGTAGCATGGATGTTACACTACCGGTGCGGTGAAGGTCTCCAGTGGCAAATCTTGCTGCTCTACGAGGTACTGCCTCAAGCTTAGTGGTGTTATGTCTAGTTGTTGGCCTCTAGTCGCTAGAGGCGTACTCTGGAATTGATTTCACTAATGTGGGGTAAAATTGTGCCTTGATGGTTGTTGGGCATCGGCTGATTTTCTTCCGTGGGAAACCAGGGTGGTGTTGGCTTTCTTTGTGATTTTATGCACTTGTTTATCCCAGTTAAGATTTTCTGTAATGTCACTCCAAGGACTTTGCTTGGTCAACGGTGTTGAGGACTTGGCCATGGATAGAATAACTGGCTATTGGTGGAGATCTTCGATTGGTTACCCGCAGTACCTCACATTTGTCCGGGTTAAACATTAGCCAACGGTCCTCCCACTGCTGTAGATAGTTTAAGTCTTTCTGCAGCATTTCTTGGTTCTCATTTGGCCTTATTCTTGGACACAAGAGGCAGTCGTCTGCAAAGAGTCTGCTTACTGTAGAGGGGATGTCGTTTTTGAAGAATAGGAACAGTAATGGGCCTAGGACAGTTCCCTGTGGAATGCCTGAAGAAACTGGATGGACAGATGATGACTGGCAATCAAGAACAACACATGTACACCGAGTGCGGTATACATGTAGGAGAAAATTTGCGATGCAGTCATGTGTTTTGTTTCTAATGCCATAAGGGTTAAGTTTCAACAGTCATTGGTGCGGAACATGGTCGAAGGCCTTGGAGAATTCCAAAAGTAAACATTCTACTATATCCAAACTCCTGGCAACTAGTAAGTCGTTGATGGATAGAATGAGCTGCATTTCTCTGGAACGACATTAAGAGACATAATTTGTCGAAATGCGCATCAGGTGCATCAAAATTGGTACGTATATGATTTACATTATGACCCCTGGGTCGAGGCCTCTGCTGGTGGACTGTTAGTCCCCGAGGGTTTCTACAGCCCAGTAACCTAGTACCCCGGTACTAGCTTGAAAATACGGATATATATTTAATTGCTGTGGTAAAATTTGGAATTTTTTTTTATCAAAATTAAGGATTATTTCCCTCATGCTTAGCTCTAATCCTTCGACGTATTTGGCTCCAGTCTTTGGCAACTTTTTTCCAGCTCTTCCAAGTCTTTTTTATTTAATATTTTGGATTTCCAACGTTTTGGCTTGAGCATCACTGAAGAGATAATTTGTCGAAATGCTTTTCTGTTGCATCAAAATTGGTACCGTATATGATTTACATGTAAATTGGTGGTTAAGGGTAAATGCTTTCGTCTATGTGTCGCCGTAGACAATGTTGTCCCTCTTGAGTGGAGCCACACCTAACCCATCAGTCCTTTTTCTTTTTTTGAAGCTCCATAGGCGCTTTGGTTTATGGTGTTGTAGTAGGTCTCGGAAGTCTGATCTATATGTTACTAAATCAATAAATGCAGCATCATGGTCACTGATCCCTGTTGCGGTTTACAAGAGAAGGTCGGTTGGTAAGGAAAAGGTTAAGTATTGCGTTGTCCCTGGTAGGGAATTCCACCATCTACGGAAGTCCAGTTTCTGCAAAGAGGTTTATAAAAACCTGGTTTACTCCTTGAGAGTTCTGATTTCTTATAATGGAATTTGCATTCCATGATACGTCTGGAAGATGGAAGTCTCTTGTTAGCCAGAATAGTGAACCTGCATGAGAGTGAATGAGTGGATCAGTTTCTGAGCAGATTACCTCAGCGTTATCCTGGTTACTGCTCGGTGGTCTGTAGAGGTCTGCGATGATGAGTGGTGGGTTCCTGCCTCTTTAGACTGATACAGAAATCAATTCTGAGGTATCAGAAACATAAAGTTCATCACAAGGTAGTTTGGATTTTGTTATAATGACACCATAATGACCCAGCCGACTTTCTGTTCTCTCCGTGATTTGACCAAGTAACCTTGGGGTATGAACTACTATTTTGTTCTTCTGGACGCAACCATTTGTTTCCGTACCAATGACTAACTCGGGTTTTGCTGATTCCAGGACGTTAAAAAAGCTAACTGAGATTGATGGAAATCTGGAGATGTATATACATGTACAGTAACATTTTATTTCTCTGTCTGCAACAAACCATAAAGCAATTCAAATTTTAAAAGTAAATGATATTTTCCAGCGAAGATTTTTGTGTGTGAAGATTTACGTGTAAGATTTACAACCAAAATAATCTACCATATAGCTTATCTACTACAATCAATATAAAAAAATGATTTTGAATTTTGTTTTTTATAACGATGTGAAATTCATTATAACGTGAAATCCTATTTGATACATAACATGGTTAGGAAAAAGGGAAAAAAATTAGACGGCAGGAATTGTGTTAGTTTTGTAAATCTTGAGTACTGAATTGAATTTCAGTAAAGCACCGTTATTGTTGAAGAAGGGAGTATTTTGCACATACACTGTAGATGAAGCTCTTCGAACTTTGAAATGTAAGTACGATGCCGTTGATGACGTTGTTTTCTGATGCTATTACATGTGCTGTTGTTGAAATAAAGTATGACCATATCATGTGAAATTGTTTTCCTGTTCTCAGATAACCTTGTGCTTTATTTTGCCCTCAAGATCAAGCTTCATCTGAAACTTTACCTTTGCTCACAATTTCTAAAGTAAATAACATGTTGACTTCATACGTTTATCATACGTAGGGTGTTGCCAGTGTAAAGACGAATATTGAACCCCGTACAAAAATGACCAGGGGTTTCATCTCTTTGCGGCTTCTTGGTTTTCATTGAAGTTTTAGTAGCCGTCACGGTAGCTCAGTCTCTAGAGCACTCACTTCGTGATCGGAAGATCGTGTGTTCGAATCACGGCCGCGACTGACCTAAAGTCTATAAAAAGTAGGTAGCAACTGTTCCTTCGCCAAGCACTCGGCACTTTGAAATGAAAGTTGCGGGTCGTTTGGATGAGACCATAAAAACCGAGGCCCCGTGTCACGGCAGGATAAAGATCCTTCACTGCTCAATGGCCCTGAGTGCCTAGTAAACTTAAGGTCTAAATTTGAAGCCCTTCACCAGTATATGGTGACGTCTTTATATGATTGAAAAATTATCAAAGGGGACGTAAAACAACATACAATCAATCAATCAATTATTTGCAGTATGTAGACTGTTAAAATCACTGACTTAAAAAACATGCACTCAGACGCAACTTGATTTCCCGGCAGATAGACATTATAAACATCTCTCTCTCTCTCTCTCTCTCTCTCTCTCTCTCTCTCTCTGGGACATATAAGGTAAAACCAAAAAAATCCTATTAAAAACAATACTTTGTGTTGTTAAATCAAAGTGGAAGCTTTTCCACATAGTGTAGATTAAAGTCGATTAATGTTTCAATTTATCATAAAAGACAGATCACTTTATTCGAAAGATTTAATGAGACCAGCATATCATCCCTGTATCCTCATTTTACGTATAACTCAGATGAGCATTTTGGTGGTCTGTGGGATCATTTTTTACGTGGGGTATGCATTTTCTTTACGAAGATTTTAAGGGTGATGCCACTTTATTTACAGGCAAAAGGGTTATTTTTTGACCCTCTGTCATTATTCTACTGGGGCATATTTGTCTTTACACCGGTCATAATCATCTTGAACAAGGTCGAAGGTGAATCCGTATCTCTTCAATGGACAATCAGTAGAGGCTCATAATCTACTGTAGATTCCTAAATATACGCGAGGAATAAATTATCGCGTAATTACGCGAGAAGCACCGCTCGCGAAATAAAATTACTCGCTTTTATTTTTATGGTGCTTGAATGTATGTAAAATCTCTAGATAAATCAACCATTCGCGAATTATTATTCTCGCGATTTGACGCCCTTGGGTCATTTCGCGATAATAAGTACTCGCGTAAGATAAGGAATCTACAGTATATAAAACCAAAGTCATATAGGAATCGGTAGATAAAACTTGACTCTGTCATCCATAACTTTGCAATGGAGAAATATTAGATGTTCATACATATACTTGACACAAAAGATAGGTTGCCATGGAAGAGATGGCATGACCGCGAACCATGGTCACATGATGTTTAAAATTTGTACTGTCCATAAATTTGTTATGAAAAATATAAAAAGGATCCGACATGAACATAAATTAGATCAATTTTGACACAAATATAACTACGCTCAATTTTATTCGGTTTCGTAATCACATCTTGTTTATTTGAAAATGACTCTAAACTGTCACATATTTTACAAAGTGGATTTCACAATCTGATTTTTCTGCCTGGGTTTTAAAAGAAAGGACAGACCCAACCATCTATAAAAATATCATAAACCTTAATGTCGATCAATGTTTAGCTTCAGTTTTTTTTTTTATCTCATTCTGGATTGATGATCATTAATTTAGTAGAAATATTCTAGACGACGTTGAGTCATTAGAATTATCGGTAACCATTTAAGGCTGCTGATTCAATAGACATGCTGTATATGGATCGTCTTAAAAGGGACTAGATCAACATACTTAGCCTGATTTCCGCCTTAGAACATAATTAACGGTACTATTTTAGTAATTTATCTTAAACAGAAAAATACAAGTCTATAATATTTGAATTAATTGTACAACAATTAAATAGAAAGTGACAGGGCAATTCCTAGATAATTAATCTGGCAATGGGTGACTGGAGTGACGAAAAATTTAGATTCCACCTCTGGAATTTCCAGGGGTCCATGTTTTATGACCTGCTCACAGATTTGTATTGTTTGTATTAATATTTTTTTTAGATTGACAACTGTTCATTATCTTCACTTTTCCATCTTACATTCTTTGATGTGCCCATCGCCATTTTCTATATTTGCATATTTCAAATTGTGATCCAGTGAAGCAAATAAATTAAAATAAAAAATAAATTCAAATTTAAGCGTTCGCTTAATATCATTATAGAGAATAATTAATTACGTACATTGAAAGGGTAAGATATGTTTAACTATTAATTAAGAGGAAAAAAAAATCAGAAGTAATCCATTCATGATATACTGCAGTCCCCTGTTGTATTTGTTGGAAGTATCACCATGTGCAGAGAAAATCAAATTACAGTAGTAATATGTGTTATTGACGACTGAGTTTTCATAATCAAGAAATCACTAGATTTTCAACAGTTTTGGGGCTCAGTCAAGATTGTGAAGGTTATAAATACAAGATCTCAACGTTGGGTACCAAACACCAAGATGGAGGCCTTACCCTCACTTCACATCAATTAACAAAATCTTCATTTGTTGGAATTAAATGAATATTAACTTTGACAATTCCACTAGCTTTATCAATTTAGCATTGTCGTAAATCTGATATCTTGAGAATAGGGAGCTTGATATCCAGCACCCTCAGGCTAGCTCAGCCTAATCACCTTCAGGCTAGCTCAGCCTAATCACCCTCAGGCTAGCTCAGCCTAATCACCTTCAGGCTAGCTCAGCCTAATCACCCTCAGGCTAGCTCAGCCTAATCACCTTCAGGCTAGCTCAGCCTAAAGCCTTTTACGGTGGAACGCAGCCTCGATAATTTAATTTTGCAACTCTGCAGGCGCACGGTTTTGGGTTGTTGAGGTCAGTGGAAGACAAACATGTAAACTAAATTGGATTTCGTAGCGAGAATAAATTTTACCAAGAGAACAACATTTTAAAAAAAATATAAATATATTTCGATGCTGCTTTTCTTCCTCTGGACAACTTCTCAAGTTATGCTCGAAAATTCATATACTGTTCAATTATAATTAAATGTATACATGTATGGTACTTTTGAGGGAAACATTAACTAATACATGTGATAGACGAACAAGCAATTTTTAAAATTAGAATTTCGTCTCACGAGTCTTCACCTTACGTGTACTTTTCTTGACATTATTATAAAGGTATTGTACCAATAACAAGTCATCTGATTAATGATTAAGAGACCATGAGTCTCTACATGTGCAAATGTCATTAACAATATGATCCGGTATGAAATGACATTTTATCACCCATTATACGGGGGAAGAGGGGGTGAGGTGGAGGGTTCCTTTAGGTGCATATTGTCTCCAGTGACAATATGTACCAATGGACGACAAGATGTGAAATGGGGGAACTTAAGGTAGGTATTGTCGCCATTGAAAATTTAAAAAAAATCCTTATTTTTCCTTATTCGTTATTTTAATAGTAGATGAAATCGGTCATGAATGTGAATGTACTATAAAGTACATCATTAACTTCTGATTTAATGTTGCCGATATATAAAATACTATAGAAAACATAGCTACTATATGCCTGTGCCCCCTCAATAAAAACGTTTTTATTGACTTTTGTCTTATTATTTATTTTTTTATTTATTTTTTTTTTTTTGCTTGTCAGGGAATTTTGGTAGTTGATAGTGCCCCCTTCCTCTCCCAGCTGAAAATATATGGTTGTGCCCCATTAAAGTGAAATTGCTACCTACGGGCCTGGTAATATTGGTTTCATTTAAAGCAAGAGAGGTATTATTCCGAAACATGAGAACTCTCCTTCTTTAATATATCTTTCCAGGTGTTTACTGCCTTTGTCCAGTGGAAATGAGTCACTAACTAACTTTTCCACATCCTACACTTTTATTCAAAAAGTGGCTTGCTGTCTTGTGAAAAATACATGTTAATTTTAGAAATGTATCATTTGCCAACAAGAAAGGGATTGTACGGCAAGCATGAATGCATGTCAGTGCACGTGAAAACATTGAAGATCGAGGAAGTTAATGAAATATGAAGATGAAAAGAAAAATTACTATAAGTACATTAAACAAAGACTTCTGTCATTTTTAATTTTCTTTTTAAGTATTTTTAAAAGACATATTTTTTATCTTGTTGTGTAGTTCGTGGCAGACACGTAATGACACTTAATTATTCCTGCATATATAATTATGTCAACTAGTGATAAAATCCCATCCTATCGTGAAAGTTATGATAACATATTTATATCTATCTTTCAAGAATTTTTGAGCAAATCTGATTATATATGTAGATGTACAGCATCTTCGAATATGAGTCTAGATAAATATTGAAATTATATAAGGAACAATTAAGTCTTTAATATTTAAAAAAAAAATAAATGTCACGGCTAAAAACATGCGTGTCTCATGCCTAGGTGTCACCCTTTGCTACATCATCTTCACCTTTGGGTGGAGAGGTTCATGCAGAGGTTCGATCTTTGTTTTGATGCAAGGTTTGGTTGTCTGACGTTCATGAGATCTGAGTGCTCGCTGGATGTTTTATATCGAAGAGGTTCTGTGGACAGGTGGTGACGCTGGTTTGTCATCTCCATTACTGACGTCATCAGCGCACTGTGGGACTGAAAATATTTAAAAACAATCATCACTACATCTTGGACATACATGTACGTCTACGTATATTCATGTATCTGCATGTCTATCTCAATTAATCGATACAAGTATGTTGTTTTATAACAATTATATAGTTTACGTACGTTAACACTGACGCTTTGAGACCTACATGTACATATAATCGACATGTTTACCAAAAAATAGTCGTTTCTCTCTGATGCCACTTTTTTAAACAGATAAATAAACAAATTTATTTACGTGTGTTAACATACGTACATTGCTACAAAACTACATTTCAACAATAATGATCTTAATCATGTACACGTGTTCACATGATTTCCAATGGGTCGGTCTAATACACTACATGTATATATATATGAAAGCTTATATATAACTGATGTAATATTTTCTTAATCTCAACAATTTAAATAATATTGTTTTGTTAATTTTTTAAAAATTATCAAAAAAGGCTAAAATAGATATTTTTGAATTTGTTATTTTAATGATAATTTATTCACTGTTACATAAATATGGATTGATGCCTGTAATCGTTCTCTCCACAGATCAAGGTACAGTTTGAACTTTTTCCCAACGAAAGAAAACTTATCAGGGATGTCAAACAAAAATAAAAAAGATACATGTAAAGTAAGAAATCAACATTTACTATCAAATTCAAAAAACTGCAGATGATTGCAATCAGGGATACTGATAAAAGAAGAAAATCATCGAAAACTCGTTTATTTTTTTATACTGCAATTTATAACCTTTTTAATGTATTTTCCTCACAACCGAAACTAATTGTTTTCCCCACACTAAACAATAAAATTTTTACTACCTATTCAAATAGCATAAACACAGTTGTTAAACATAGAAGTTCGATAAAATATTCGGTAGGAATATCTAAATACATTCCGACTCCATAGATTTCACTGTCTGGTTCTACGATTTCTATAGTCATTCAGGAAGTTCATTTCAGGATTAATTATTCACTATTTATTCCACTCTATCATTTATTTATGGTTCCCCTTTGTATCTCGTCCATTAGTCTGGGACAGGTTTTAATTGCCCTCTAAAATGATACGTCCTGTGATTGTTTAAACTGTAAACACTGTCAAATATCAGATTCATGCATTGATTGCTTCATTATTCAGTCACTGATATAGTACTCATTGATCTCGTTGTATAAACTTACAAATCTCGTTCGAAAAATAACACCGACAGATTTTATGAGTTGAACGTGATTTCAAACAGATACTTCGTAAAGCTTGGTGTTTCAATATTAATAGCACAACATACTCTGTTGATGTACTCAATACGACTGAAAAACTTAAATGCGCACGTTTGTACGTGTAGTAATTTTAGTTTAATTAGTTCCTTTAAATAATAAATCACCCAGGAAGCTAAATTCGTAGTCGAAACTTTTCACTGCTACTTTGAAGCAGGTATATACAATCAATTTATCGAGAATATTTATTTATTTTTGTGTGTGTGTGTATATTACATGTATGTAAAAAAAAAAAAATCATTTTCACAAATTTCATAGGCATGAATCGATTGCATAAATATACATCATTTAATATATAAATACACCGAATGTACGCGATAATAATTTAATTAATGTAATACGTATATTTGTAGTATGTCAAACAGAACACCTCGACATACTTGATTAATACACTGTTTACATCATTAGGCGAGGATAAACAGCACTGAAGCTTGCTGATGTGTTAAATTTACCATTAAAGAAGAATGGTGAGCTGCCCAAGACAATGAAAATGGTAAACCATAGGTCACAAAGCCCGTCCCCAGGGCCATTTTCTCTCGCTTTCGCCACTTTGCTCGTCTATTCTGAAACCATACCTATAGAAAAACAAAACTTCACAAATGACGAGAAGAAAAAATAATATTTTATAATAAAAATGTAACAGTACTTATAAAAATTAACCAATTTAACGTATTTACAGAACAGAACATTTATTTTTATAATTTAGAGCCCAGAACGGACAAGTATGAAATTACTACAATAATCAGGAAAGGATATGCTAATGAATAGTATAAGAATTAGTAAATGACATTGCTCATTTCAACAATAATCTTAAACTATTTCAGGTTAAAAGGAATACAATGTATAAAAGTGTATGACTACTATAACATGTTATCATTGAAAAAATTGCCCATAAAATTAAGAATTTCCTTGTCTTCAGTATCGAGCAACCCAAAAAGTTTTTGTTCATTATCTAAAGCTGAAAAATTTGGAAATTTGCTTTTAATTAACTGAAATATTTCTTTTCTTTGGTGGTCGTATTTTCACATGTTATCAAAAAATTGAGTTTCATTATCTATACTGTTAGAATAACATCTATTACATGATCGATTTTCTCTAGGGATGTTGGTAAATCTACCCACTCCAATTTGCAACCTGTGACAGGAAATTCTTACTTTACATAGAGATTTTCTGTGATCAAAATGTTTAACTACTGATAAATAATTCTCATAACCCCAATTTTGTTTGAGTTTCACATATGTGCTTAATTTGCCATCAGTGTAGATTTGTTGACTTGTATAGGAATTTTTTTTTACATAATAATCTAAAAGGTTTTATGACAGACTGACTTAATTTTTTCTTAATTCTGTATATTGCAAACCGTGAGTTCTTGCCAGTCCAAAAAAGTGTTTTATTACATTCATATGCATCCTTAAGTAAAAGAAATTCTGTGGACAAATTTTCAAATCTATACCAACTTTTGACAAACAATCTGATAATATCATAATGCAGGGGGAATCTTCCCAATTCAGACAATACTGCAAAATTTGTCATTTTTCTGTGAACACCAAGAATATATTTACAGAATTCAAGGTGTATTCTTTCACAAGGTAGATTTCTAAAACAATCTTCAACTTCTAACTTTTTGCATATTAGGAATCTTTTAGTGTATATATTCCTCTGCATTGCATAAAAGAATTGGTTTAATGGTGGAGTCAAATACATGTATGCTGGTTTTAATTCCAGGATTTAAATTAATAAAATCATATATCAATTTATAATATGCTTTTAATGTCCTTTTTATAGAGCTCAGACTAATATTCCAACATCACAATCATAAGGTGTTTGTGTCTCCCAACTGATCCGATACACAAGAACATGCTCTAAATACGATCAATTTTTAAACTGAGGCCGGCTTCTGACAAATAAGTTGATATTACAAGGATTTCAGCAGCCCCGTTTAAAGTCGTTTTTTCCCCTTCAAATTCTATGGTCTTTATAATGACCTTGTTTGCAAATAAAACCTGTCGTTGGGCTGACATTTTGTCTGACATGTTTCATACCACTTGTGAATCATTGCTTTTATACTAGATTTGTTTACTCCTTCTAGGCACCTGATCCCACCTCTAGTGTTTACTGGGATCCGTTGTTTTGCCCTGTTTACAATTCGTTTTGTTGATTGGAATTCTGAGATTGGTCTGCATCATCTTTACCTTTTACATGTGCTTGATGTCTAAAAAATTGTTTTCTAAGAAAAGCCTGGTCACTAGACCCATGGGACATCAATTTTTACATTTTGGGTCAAAGATCCAGGGGACATGAATTCTACATTTTTTGGTCAAAGATTACAATTTCCCCGAAATAATCTTTTTGACGAAACCTATCCGTAGAATTTAAAAATGGCATTTTTGTCAAATTTAAAGTTAAATCCCGTAGGTTCAAAAAGCTGTTAATATATCTATTTTATTTGCATATGTTTATTTATGGAATGTTTAGTTTTTGTGAGTGTTATTAGTGTGTAAATCATACAGATTTGTCACCTAAACAAATTTCATGAAGCGCGTTAAATAATATTTAAAACCAACAAATGTACACTCAGGGTTTGAATACATCACTATGACGTCACCTCAGTTCGTTCGTGTGACACGAAAATGACAATCAAATCAATATGTCAAAGCTGATTTAGTAGAGAGAGAGAGAGAGAGAGAGAGAGAGAGAGAGAGAGAGCAAATGTAAATATTTGATTTTGTATGTGTATTTTTTTCCAATGACAACTATAGAGGAACTAGTAAGTAGAACTTGTTTCTAATTTTACTGATTATTCATTATACACCATTAATAAAATGTTCAAATTTTTGTTGTTGAGACAAACAGGATGACAAATAAAAAATTAAAGCAACCGATATTGCATTAAAACCTCCGTGTCATCGTATATTAAGACGGACATTGACATTATGATTAGATTTCTGTCCAATCCCAATTTATGTGAATTTTGCGTAAAAGAAAATAAATTGTGATCATAGGTGTAAAAGAAAATAAATTGTGATCATAGGTGTGAAAGGATCACATAGCTGTTTAGGAACCAAATGAATTTCATACATTCATCTACAGCTAAGGTGATATTAACACACAGTAAGACGCTAAGAGAATCACATAACATGTTCATCGTGGCTGATAAAAACTATATAAATCAGGTGTTTAATGTTCAGATATTATTGTAGACGTCATGGCGTCAGACAGTACTAGATTTAGCCAAGGCTTGTTGGTCAAGTCGTTCAATAGAATTTTTGTGATAGCTTGATCACGGAAACTTCATACTTATAATCTTAACTATCAACTGAAGAGCATGAGGAGTAAAAGAAACATGCTAAACACCCAAACAAACCAGAGCATTAGAGCTGGTGTCATTATTATCACATTATACATTACAGGTTACATAACATTTGGCTATTCTCGAATGCATCATTCATGTAACACTTTTTTTTTTTTATATATAAAACATTTCTTAATTATCAAATTATTCACCAATTGATGTTAAAATTTTTATGTGTTAAATTGTAGCTTTTTCATTCAAAAGCACTAGATATATTTTTGTATCCCTGAACAGGCCCGTTGGAAGAAATTTCAGAAATTTTCAGTTTAGGGTGGACACTGTCGAGGAGAAATTCCTTATAGAGCATAAAAAATGTTATCGGAAGTTAATATTTACATGATTCAGGGGACACAAGCATAAAATTAATAGCTATGTATAAATCGGCAAAATTATTGGGGGCACGGTCCCCAACATACCCCCCCTTTCGATTGTTAAGTCCATGAAAAAAGAAATGACAAGTAATATAGTGTATATAGAATAAATTCATGTCCAAGTTTTATTTAAAGTTGATGCCACTGAATTGAACTTTTCTTGTTTCTTAGCAAAAGAATTCATTTCATTACTCAGAGTCCTATGTTGTTAACACTGGGTTTAGCTTTTCTTAATTCTTCGCGTAAAAATAAATTTGCTTAAGTCAGACAAGCTTTTTAGGAAAGCTAATACTTGGTTCAGATTTATGATTAAAAGTTTCAGCGGGGGTGGGGGTAATTCAATTGACAAGGATTTCTGTGATATATTGAATGACTCTAGCTACTATTTATTAGTGATCTTCGTCTTTGTAAATTTATTTTAATTATCAGATTTTTTTTTATGTTATCAATCTAAAAATCTATCGAATAAATATTCTGTTCATCAACAGCCATAGAAAATTAAAATTAAAAACCGTATATTACTTTCATACAATCAAAAAATTAATTAAAGATATATTATATGACATATATAAAATTATTCTTGGCCAAATACTGGTATTCTTGTTTCCGTAAACATACTATAGTTGTGGTATGCATATGGAGTGTGAAAACTTTTAATTTCAATGTCATTTCCTGGTCAGACGACACGTTCCTCAATGATATACAATTTTTCCGCAGCATTTGTCATTGAAGTATTGCTACTTTAACAAGTTTCCTAACAAAAAAAAAGGGGGGGCTTACCAGGCATTTGTGTAAGATACCAGAGGATGCTATATACTATATAATCCTACTGGTATTCACTTGCATTGCCAATATCACATTTTTTTGGTGTCTTGATCTACATGTACCTAGACATTTTGAAATCAGTTTAAAAATCACAAAACAACGAATAATGTATATTACGAAGAGATACAAACCAGATATTCGAGCAACGTGTCGTCAGACCTTAAATGAATAATGTTGCAACACAGGTGTTTCAATATTGAGATTACCTGAATTCTTGATTCTGGAAGTTTAATTTTAGACGCCAATTTCTCTCGTAAAAACACGTCTGGGTAGTGTGTTTTACGGAAGGCCTTTTCTAGTTCTTGCAGCTGCTTTGTGGAAAAGGTTGTTCGGTTCCTTTTGGTTTTGATGCTACCTGTGAGGTCATTGGACTTCTGTTCTGAGAGGGAGAAATGAGAGGAGCACAAATCTGGAATCAAATAAACGTGACAACCTATTAATATGTTTTTTTTCTCAAAAATTGAAATCCTGCAAGCTAAATGATCTTTGGCTGTAAATTCACACATTTAATTAAACATCGTAGACATTTAGATATGTACGACGTATGTAAGAGCTAAATATTACGCAAAAATTTGCGAGTAACATTTTTTTTTATCTTATTTCAGGCTTGTAGCAACGGTTTTCAAAGTTGAAAAGCAAAAAAAAAAAAAAGAAAAAAAAAGCAACAGTGGTGGTGGTGGGGGGGGGGGGGGAAGGACAGCATCCAAATCATATCAAAACTACAGCAAAAAAGACTACTCACAGAAAAGATCCCCCCTCGCTACTATGGGCTGAATTTATCAAAGAAAAAGGACTCTAAGGAATTTATGAATTACTAGTATAAAAAATGGGAACAAGTACAAAGCAAAAAATTTTGATCCTGCAATTTTAGATTTATGCATACAATCTAAAATTCTATAATTAAAGAAAAAATGCCTGCTACCGACATTTTTTGAAAAATAGTTCGAGAAATGGTAAATTTACCTCTGTTTGTGTCAATGAATTACAAAAATTGTGCTTAAAAAATAAATGTTTAATTGATTTTATAATATACTCTTGAATATCGTTTATTGCTTGATTATCTAATTATAAATAAATGATATAAATAGGGGAAACATGAAATGGTTAGGGCACACATTGGTCATGAAAATAATATATTGGCTAGTTACTATATTATCAATATCATGACCGAAGAACAATTTCTGCACGTCCAGTCATGCATTCCGCCTTGTTCGCTTTTTAAAAAAGATATTTTTTTTTACACTATTGATCTTTAATAATTTTCAATCTGAAGTGAAAATGATAACAATTTGTCATGTAATCATTTTCAACTTTGGATTAAAAATTAATAAACGACACTATCAGACAATATTTGCTAAAATACGTGTTCACTTACCAAATTGAACGAATATACTGTGATATCAAAAGGTTGCTGGAAATGTTTTGCAACACGCCAGCATGCTTTCGAAATTCTTTTTAATATGCTAAGAAAGACAACTCTTATATTCACTTACACGCAGGTCAACAAAAGCATTTCAAACGAAATTTTGTCAATTTTTTTGGTTTAAATATAATCTAAATTCGTTATTTACAAAATGCATGCCAAGTCCTGTATTGTGCATTTTCATTTTAATTTTGTTTGGGCGTTTATTTATTTATTTTTTGGAGAAACTTTCCTCTAAAAACAAGACTTGTTTTGTTAATGTCACCGTTTCCTGCAAAGCAAGAGGGAACATCGAATATATAGTAAAACGATATTACAAGCACCTGGTACAGTTGTATACGTGCATTCTGACGACACGCACACTGGTAGAACACGTGGAATTTGTCATATAAATCTGAACGGTATAGAGATGTCGACTATTTGCTTCTATCGATTCTTTTTCATTAACCCTTCTCTCTTTTATTTGAAATACAAGAAGTAATAAACACAATATCCAGAGGCATGGTTTGAATATGTTTGTGAGACAAAAATCATTTCGATGTACGTGTAGCCCAAAGCAGAACCATAATGAGAGTTTGGGGTAAAAATTGTGAGCATGCGAACTGCAGATCTAACAATTCAAATAAAAACAAACAAACAAACAAATATTAAAACAAAAAAAAAAAGAACTCGTTTCATCATGATAATGCTACAATTTTCTCTCAACTTCGATTTTTAGCATCAAATGAGCTTTACTGGAGAACAATAACTAAAATACTGGTTGATTAAAAAATAAATAAAAGGTTGTCTAGAAAAACTGAGCAAAATAAAACAAAGGGGAAAAAAAAATCAAAATCCTCTCATAAATTATTTCTAAACATAATGTAACTAGGAAATTAGTATCTAAATAAAGCTGCTTGCAACGACTTCTTTAAGTTAAAATTAACAGTTAACTTTGACAGAAAGGCTGTTTACTGTGTCCTGATATGCATCAATTTTAACAAAAACATTTTAAACAAAAAGGTTTTCATCTGTCCCCAGTCATGAAAAATTTTAGGTAAGATCCATGACATATTTATAATATAAACAAAAAATATCATCCTACAGATCTTTCACAGGCTAAAGTAATACAAGTATTAATATCACCTATATGTACCTATGTACATACCTGTTATGCTGGTAGTTTTGGCGATACGTTCCCTATCTGGCAGTCTAAGAATATTGCTGATGGAGAACTTGAGAATGGGCGTATTAGATGGTGGTGCCTCGTTTACTTTTTCTTCTTTAGAAGATGGTATACATGCAGGAATTATTGTGTCTGAATCTACAGTCAAAATAACATCAGAGTCGCTGTATTCCGTATCCTCGGTTTCAACGTCAACTTCTTTTCCACCTTCCGCACTTTGTGATCCTTCCATGACAAACGTTGTATATTACCGTTATTTTGCGTCTCATCTTTTTATAACCAATTTCTAGAAGAATTAATCATCTTGATTTGTGTGTTATTTCTTGATAAGGGAGACAAAAGATACTTGTAAGGTTGCAATGTACTCGATAGCAAATATTAAAACTACTCGCTGATGAATAACCGTCAGTTTAATTAAACATATTCACTGTCAATTCTCTCATCAAAGGGAGGAAATTACTGTTAAACTGGGAACTAATTTGCAGAATTTTTATTCGATTCTTTCAAAAAATTGTACACTTTGGGCTTCCCTCTGTATTATTATGACAAGGGAGCGCCTCTCTCTCGAGGAAATGAAAACCTCCAGTTTCTACTTGATATGGAGGCTTGTGTCCTTGCGCGTGGCCCGAGACTTGAGATGACAGCATGGAACATTCAGAGATTGTAATGTAATCGGCGGCGATTCATGGCGGGGCTTCTTCTTTGGTTTAATCCAAAAAAAAAAAAATCTTTAATTTGTTCATGAATTATTTATGAATTTTAATTCCATTTTAATTTTTTAATCCTGGAGATGAGACCCTTTGAATGTGCAATAAGAAAATGAATGGTCTGTTTTAAATCAATTTATTTGCAATTGCTAGAAATTCAAACATTATTTTTCATCCGTCAAAAAAGAAAATATTTAAAAATGCATAAAATTATTTCTTTGGGTATCTTTTGGTAACCAATAAAAGATTTTCGGCTTATTGTGAAGCTGTTATTAAACATAATCGCAATGAAAGAAAGACAATATGTATCTGTACAATGTACTAAATAGTCTGTCAATAGTGATCAGGGCTTTTTTTGTATGACATTTTTCACCATAAGTCAACTTTTTTTCTTTCAAGGAGGTGTTTTTATTTCTAGACCCCCTCGGATGTGATCACCTAAACGCATTTTGATATTTCTAGAATAGGCTCATATTGACTCTACCGTTATACTACCACAAGCTAAGATGCTCGAAGAAGTGAAAATGAAGGAAAATTTTGAGGAATTATCATTATTTAAAGGATGCAATATCGTTTCAAAGAAGTGAAGAGAGTAAGTCAGAATCGAAACGGCCATATTGAATGCTGATAAGTATGAATTTGGAGAAATGACAATGACTCAGTTTATGGTACGGTATGAAATGCTGCAGATATATGTATATTTAAGGAATGAATTTAAAAGGTACCCAAGTTATACTGTATAACCTGAATTGGGGCAGTTTACGCTTTATTGTATTTTAACATTTTAGGCTGTAAACTTATTAAAATATTCAATTGCAAAAAGTATATCCTCAAAGTACAGTGTCAGGATTATAATTCTAATTAAAATATAAACATACAATGTATCTTGAAATTCCCCGCCCCCAAAAGGGTGGAGATACAATGTCTCAGCCGCACACTTTTAAATGAAACCACAATTCTTTCCTTGAAATGAAACAGTTTCCTCAAGGTCATTGGGCTGTGTCGTTGGCTTTATTACGACTTTCCGTAATTACAAATACGGAATTTCCCTATTAGAGGAGAAACTTATTTTGAGCAAAGGTATCTATCTGGTAAAGACGTTTATTAAGTAACTGTTATTTTTAAGAATTGTTCATAGTGTGAAAGACATGTTCAATGTTTTTTACTGGCATTAATTTTGCAGAAATATGCACGTGCGTACATAACTGCTCAACAATGAAAACAAGAGGCCCATGGGCCACATCGCTCACCTGAGCACTGTGGCTAGGAAGAAAGCAAAACTCAGTTCAGTATTAAAAAGCCTAAATGCATTTAAGTGGTCCCAACCTAACCCCAAAACAGGGGGGGGGGGGGGGGATTTACACTAACTAAGGATGCTTACATATTTCTTTGACTAACTGTGGCTTTTGTCTACAGGTTTGAACTTTCATTGTGGCCCAACCCTAGCCCCGGTGGTCATGATTTGAACAAACTTGAATCTACACTACCTGAGGATGCTTCCTTGTAAATATGACTAATCGTAGCTTTGCTGTTCTTGAGAAGAAGATTTTTGAAGATTTTTCCAATATACTCCTATGTTAAACGTTGATCATCCATTGTGGCCCAACCCAAACCCAGGGAGTGGTCATGATTTGATAAAACTTGAATCTACATAACCTGAGGATGCTTCCTTATAAATATGAGCAATCATGGCTTCGCTGTTCTTGAGAAGAAATTTTAAAAAGATTTTTCCTATATATTCCTATATAAAACTTTGATCGCCCATTGTGGCCCCATCCTACCCCCGGGGGTCATGATTTGAACAAACTTGAATGTACACCACCTGAAATTGCTTCCATATAAATATGACCAATCATAGCTTTTCTGTTCTTGAGAAGAAGATTTTTAAAGATTTTTCCAATATACTCCTATGTAAGACTTTGATTGTCCATAGTGGCCCCACTCTACCCCCGGGGGTCATGATTTGAACAAACTTGAATCTACACTACGTAAGAATGCTTCCATAGAAATATGACCAATCATGGCTTCGCTGTTCTTGAGAAGACTTTTGAAGATTTTTCCTATATACTCCTATGTAAAACTTTGATCTTCCATTGTGGCCCCACCCTACCCGCGGGGGTCATGATTTGAACAAACTTGAATGTACACCACCTGAGATTGCTTCCATATAAATATGACCAATCATAGCTTTGCTGTTCTTGAGAAGAAGATTTTTAAACATTTTTCCTATATATTAATATGTAAAACTTTGATCGCCCATTGTGGCCCCGCCCTACCCCCGGGGGTCATGATTTGAACAAACTTGAATCAACACCACCTGAGGATACTTCCATATAAATATGACCAATCATAGCTATGCTGTTCTTGAGAACAAGATTTTTAAAGATTTTTCCTATATATTCCTATGTAAAACTTTGATCATCCATTGTGGCCCCAACCTACCCCCGGGGGTCATGATTTGAAGAAATTTGAATCTACACTACCTGATAATGATTTCACATGAGTTTCATCTTTCCTGGCCCATTGGTTCTTGAGAAGAAGATTTTTAAAAGATGCCATTAATTTTTCACTATTTTGTAATTATCTCCCCCTTGGAAGAGAGCATGGTCTTCATTTGAACAAACTTAAATCCCCTTCACCCAAGGATACTCTGTGCCAAGTTTGGTTGAAATTGGCCCAGTGGTTCTGGAGAAGAAGATGAAATTGTGAAAAGTTAACGACAACGACGACGGCAACGACGACAGACTACGGACAAATTTTGATCAGAAAAGCTCACTTGAGCCTTCGGATCAGGTGAGCTAAAAAAGGTTATTATAGTATGGTTTGTTTCTCAAAATAGCAGGAAAATACATATAAATAAACTTGTCCATGGTAAAAAAAAAAAAAATTCACAAATGCTATTCATTTACTACGGAAGCCCTGGAGGGACATTGACTTACTTCTTAGATGTTTTGACTTAGTTCTTATGACTTAATTATTAATTATTGTTATTTTACAATTGTTATCACACGTTTACTTCACCCAAAACGTAACGTACAAGATGGAGGCTACGTGTAGTCTCTGAAAAGAGGAATAAATATTTTGCCTTTGAATTTATTAGACAAGATAAAGTAGCTGTGATGTTCATGTGTTCAATCATTATGCACACTGAAAGAAATGTAATAATTAAGTTATAACTGTTAGGTAACAAGAAATAACAAATGAGAACGAACAAATAACAATTAAGTTATAACAGCTAAGTTACAAGTTATAACAGATAAAAATTTAGTAATCACAACTGTACTGGACGTTCAACTACGATTATAATCAATCGAAAACCAAAGTTACATGTAAACTAGGACTAAATATATCATTTTAATAATACACTTAAGCAACTACATGTTCTCCATAGCTACGTTACACTTGGTAATAACCAACAACAAAAAAGTCATAACAAATAAGTCACAACAAATAAGCTATAACAAATAAGTCATAACAAGTAAGTCAGTGTCCCTCCAGGGCTTCCGTAATTTATGTTTCGTAATGTTGCGAGAACACAAAAATTCTCAAAAACACTTTTTACAGGATGTGGATGAGAAAATAACCGCAGGTATTATTTTGAATTAAAACAAAGTTGCATGCATCCACTCTCCTTGCACACAGGCATCCGAAAGAGTCAAATGTAAATTTGCAAATGCATGCTTTCTTTATTGAATTAGATAATGCTGGGACATCAAGATTCTATTTTAGCCATTTTTTTTTAATTCTAGAAAATGGAACATTAATCACGGTGTACAAGGTAGACTTATTTTCGTTTCATGGTGCACTAATGGCATAAAAACATTACAGGTGTAGAAACGAATCGTCCTCATATGACAGTATGATTTATAACCTACACATTAATGTAACAAAACCCAAAGAAGTTTAAATTTAGCTTGCCGTAAAATCGGATATCAATTATCATGCATTTGTGAATACTTTTCCCTGTTTGATAAAAAAGGGAATTAAGCAGTTGATTTAATAATATCTTTAGGTAAAAATTTTACATAAACAAACCTGAAGCCTTATTAAAAATTCAAGCCAATTTGTTAAGCAATTATTTTAATACTTTCTTTTACCTTTGACCTCGTATTAATGTTTGTTATATAGACTTCATTTTGTGGATGACAACACATTAGGAACATCATTTTTCTATGTTAATTTAATATTTGATGTAGATGTTTTGCAAATTTCTTCTTAAAAATGTAGAGTCAAGTTTAGTGTGATTTATCTGTTTCAGTTTGCACACTGAATTCTTGTCGTTATTAAAACACTCATTTCGTTGTTGGGAGCTTTATGTAATGGAGCAGAGGGTTAAGATTTTCATTGGAATTTTATGGACATTTATGTTGGTGGGGAAAAGTAAACACGAAAGTATATTGCTACAAAATGTTACGGAGGTTCTAAAAACTGCCAAATCTCTGGATGATATTAATGGATCGTTCGTAGATAAAATAAAAAGTGTTGGTGCTATGGCCGAAACATTTACAGAAATGATCGCACCTGCTTTGAAAAATCTTAAAGAAGAGACATCAACACATCCGCTATCAACAGATTCTAGCTTGTTAAAGCGCCTCTTAATCGAAGTAGATCGTCAGTTTAAAAGTCTTTCTATGGACTTCAAAGGCATGATGCAGAGGTTAGAGGAACAACGCATTCAGATACAACTGGGTATCACGGAACAGAAGATAAGAGTAGCCGCCCAGGAACTAGAACTTCTACACAGCATACCTGCAGAGGCATTTTCAGAGCAAGTGCAACTTTTTATACTTAATTATGAATCCGATTTCCAGAACAGTGCAAAAAAGTTACTGTATTCCATAATGAACGAAAATAACTTGTTCCACAGAAGCATTTTCAACATTGCCATTCCTTTAACTTCATACAATGCAGAACTGATGCAACTTTTTATGATGAACATGCTTAAGTTGTTGCTACAAGGAGTCAACGTAGAAATGTCGTATCTGATTGTGAAGAATTACTCTGAGAGTTATAAATTTATGAAACGTGATTGGGGCAAAAAAATCAGAGAGGTTACGCAGCATATGACAAAAGTTGACCAGATCGTAAGATCAAAATGGCGGGAACAAGCAGAAATAGATGTAATTCAGATGGCTGATACCAAAGACGATTTAGACCATTATTCCTTTGCTCACTTGATATACAACCACTTGCAAAACAAGTACCCATGGCGACATTGGTTTACCGTTGTATATGACCCAATCGATGGTTCTAATAAGCACTGGATGAGCACTTGTGGCGGTTTCACTAAATTCAGATTTCATGGAAGGAATATTGTTGTGGCCAGTGTTGATGAGAACAAGCCATACCTTGAGGAGAAAGAGGGCCTGGATATTTTAATGAATTTACCAGCAAGTGCCACTGCTGAAGGGTTCTACTATTCACTTCCGGATTCTATTACGGGGAATTGTGAGTGGTACGCGTCATCGGGGTGTTTGAAATACGGATACAAGGGACATCACGTGGGCTTTGGAAAGCGAACTGTTATTGTGGGAAGAAACGATTCCAATATGACTCTTCATCTTTTCGGATAGATATGTATGTTGTAGTCAGTTTGAAAATTATTAATTCTTTTTTTATACACATGATACATGCTGATATATATTATTGATTGGGAATAAATGTATTACTACTTAGTAACTACAAGTACCGAAGTCGAACACCAGGAACGTGTTTTTGAAGAGGAAGAAAATCCATTTATCCAACCTGAATCTGTGGAGAGAGTCTGAGAGACAGGAGACTGACATACATGTACATGTAGCTGTTACAACTGATGGTTTTTGAATAACGAAGTTGACTGATAGACATTGCATTCAATAGTATTAGATCTTGGTCCAGTAATTATAGTTAAAACAACGGGGATATTGGTGCAATTCTAATCGAAAACAGAATATTCTTTTTATATTACATTCAGTATACTTGTACTTGTCAATTCAGACCACATTGTAACCAATATTACGTTTGGTATTGTTCTATCTCCTAACAGCTAATCATAGTAACTGGAATTATAAAACAGATTGACTTGAAAGTTTATGTTTCTGCAAATGTCTCCATGAATTGTTTACTAAAATTTCAAATGAAAATAAATATTTTTTCTCAGACTAGACAGTCAGAATTAGTATACTTATGACCGACATTTATGTATATAAACAATTTATTAGCTAGCAACTCATGGGAAATTGATGATAATGTCATCCATGACGATTAAAGTTACAAGAACATTTTGTAATGAAATCATTTATCACAATGTTTATAACGCAATACTCAACATTTTAGTCATGATGTCTGAACGAAACATGCACAACTTGTTAAAAAATACATGTACATGTATGTAAGTTTGGAATTTATTCTGAAAAATTGAGAATTTTAAATTAAGTTCCATTAAATTTTAGAAGCAAGGTATTCTCTGAGTCGAGCGATCAACCATTCTTTTATATTTTAATACTTTATTTAATATGATGCTTTGAAACTTTACCATGGACCTTTGATTTACTCTGTAACTTTTTGGTTGAAATAATATTTGACTAAAAAGGTAATATTTCTTTTTTTTAGTGTCAAAAAATCTCACTTGAGACGTTGACATGTAACAATCTGAATTTCATTGATAAATACTTTGATTTATCTATAACACTTTGATATTTCGATTTACCATAGCAAACTATAATTTAAGTAAGTAAACTGTAATGGTATTTTTATTTTGGACAGTCGAATCTACGTGCTATGTAGCAAACTGTTATACGTAATCGTTATGACTGCTACATGTTTGTAAAATAATTTTTTTTTCAGAATTTTTTTTTTGAAACAAGGGTGTGGGGAATATTGCGGTTAAACATTTCACGTCATTATTTGTTTTCTGTACATCTACATTCATGTATTCTAATACATTCTGTATTTTCAATTTGTTTAACATATTCAACAGAAACCCACGGACAATAATTGCAGATGTAAAATTTTTGAGTAAAATAGAAAGATGAAAATTTATTTAGTTTTCTTACATATATCCAAGTGATACAAAAGAGCTAATGTTTCCCAACAGTGATTCATAATAACTTTTCATGTCCTTCCTTTCTCTAGCTTTCTTAAAGATAAAAAGGTTATCTTTTTTACACCTAAAGGAGAATCAGCTTTTCATGATTAAATTAAGAAAAAAACTCCTAACAAATTAAAAATGAAATCAATCGTCTTGAAAGCGACTTCACCGTATATGCTTAATTTCTTTTTACAAGTTTTTAAGATAGAAGTACATGTACGTATCAAACATGGGTTATCCCAGCAATGTATGCAACATGACTATCTGAATTCCTTTAGAGTCTCAAAGTCATTGTTAGTTAACGTGCATCAAGTGGCATTCATGCAGACACAGGGATCTGTTTAAAGACCATTCCTATCCTACAGTATATTAATGATATAAAAACAGAGTAGGATAATTGCAATGATCTCTATTCCTTTGCAGACATAAGCTCTCGTTTTTATAATGGCAGTGTAATTGTAGATCTAGCTTCTAATTAATATGACTTGTAAAATTTTAACTTCTACTACCTAAAACTCTCTTAAACCCCAAAAGACAGTATGCACAAATTTATGCGAGAATTAGTCATTGATTTTAATGAACTTACACATTCTCATTTTAATAAACATGTTTAGTAATTAGTAAGTGTAATGTTAAATAAACAATATATACAAGCGTGGAACGTGCATTAAATACCTCATTTAAAGTTACATAATGAGTCAAAATCATGTGTTTCTTTTAACACAATTGTATCATAAAACAAAAGATTTATGTGAAATATGACTAAAGCGAAGTTTTGACAACTACACTGCACTGTAAAGCAAGAAAAGAACTGCAAAATAAAATTGCCGGAAAAAACAAAGATTGTATCTACCGCTTTGTTGTTATCGTCAATGTCCACAATGTCTAAGTCACGCGACTTATATTTTTAGCATGAAACTTGTAAACAACATTGAATTGGAGCAAACAGAAGTGAGGAATAAGGCCTGATCATCTTTATTGAAGATTGTATCAAAATCCTCGGCCATCCGACATTTATATCTATGGAATTGACACCATGGTAAATTCTTCAACATTTCTGCGCATGCGTACAATAAAGAGGAAGAAGTGAAGCAATATTTTTGTGTTGGGGCAAACTAAAATTATTTTTACTTTTATTTTTCTCCAAAAAAGTAGATTTTTTAGGTTCTGAAACCTGTGATTTTCTGAAACCTAATATCTTCAAGAATTGAACAAAATCTGCATGTGTCATCCATAAATTCTACTCTTGTCAGTTTTCCCCTTTTTCCGTCACAGAGTCACTTTAAGTAATTCATTAGCTCGCCTGAGATTAATATACTCAAGACAGCTTTTCTGATCAATTTTTTTTTCAGTTGTTTGTCGTCGTCGTTAATGTCGTCGTCGTCGTAAACTTTTCACATTTTCGACTTTTCTTTTTCTTTAGAACAACTGGACCAATGTCAACCAAAATTGGTACAAAACATCCTTGGATGAAGGAAGGTTTCAAGTCTCTTCATAACAAAAGCCATGCTCTCTTTGAAGGGGATACAATCAAGAAAACCTAAAAATAGGATGGGTGTCTTAAAAAAATTTCTTCTCAAGAACCACTGTACCAGAAAAGATAAAACTTGTGTAAAAGCTTCCTGACATATTGTAGGCTCAAACTGTTCAGATCCTAGCCCCTGGTTGTAGCTAGGTAGGGCCACAATAGGAGATCAAATTTTTACTTTGGATTATGTAGGCAAAATCTTCCAAAATCTTCTCGAGAACAGCATTGTCATAGTAAGTAAAACTAATACTGTTAGCACTAATATGCAAGCATCCTCAGGGGTGCAGATTCAAATGTGTTTAAATCTTGGACTTATAGGGTTTGGATATGGCCACTCAAGTGGATCAAACTTTAAGGTTTACATGGGAATATTCAGAACAAAAAAAGTTTATAAATCTTCTTAAGAACGTTTGCGGCAGGGCCATGGCTAGACATATTTATCAATATGCAAGCATCTTCAAGGAGTGCAGAATCAAAATTATTCAAATCAAGGTTCCCGTGGGTATTGTGGGGCCGATTAGGGAGATCAAACTTTCACATGTTTATATAGGATTTAAAAGAGAAAGGCAACGCCACGCACATGCTAACATGAAGATATCCTCAGGCAATGCAGATTCACATTTGTTCAAATCATGTTACCCAAAGGTAATGCAAGATGGAGCCAAATTAGGGGATCAGATGTTATGTGGATTCAAGTTCAGTTTCATTATTATCCGTCAGGGCTAAGTGGGGCCCTTGATAAGGGATCAAAATTGTTCAAAGGAATAAAAAGGGTTTTTTAAAAATCTTCTGCTGAATAGTAGGGGCAAGGTGACACAGGTAAGCATTATTGCCCATGGGCCTTTTGTATTTCTTTACTTAATCAACAAGTATTTGATTAATATCATGTAGGTGTTGAAAGGGATGGGTGTAGTCACTGGGAGGCCGTATTAGTAAGCGTAGAGAGGAAGCAGATGGGGACATGATGTCTTGCATTTAGCATCCAGTGAATAACTATTGAACATTGGATCATTAAAACCTAAGTAAATAATTTTTATCATATACTCTGTAAATAACATAATAACATCACTCCTGATTTTGTGTAATTGTGTAATTTTTAAAAGTGGGTGCTACCCCCGTCAAACATTTTTTAAAGAGTTGATCGATATATGAGGCTTATGTAAAAAATCATTGGCTGTATAGTTTGATTTCCATTTTCCAACAAACATTATATATATCCTCGTTGACAGATGTCAAAATGAGTGCTTGTTATGGTGTAGGAAAAATAAGAAATTAAACTAACACTTAACACTTAGCTTGTCTGTAAAGATCAGATTTATTAACAGCTGTGGAAAGCACACAAAAGTATTTAACATAAAAAGGTATTTAAAATCAGCATAATTTAAAACATACGCAAGGGAAATAATTATTCTTGTTACAAAACCAAGTAACTAATTTATGAATAAATTATTTATGCCATCTAACATGAATTCGAAAATTCAATAGAAATTGTAATTTATCTTTGCCATCATATTCCATGCAGTGGAATGACAATATAGTATATCTGACAATATTAATGCACGAAGTGTTGGCAAAATTACCAAAAATAGATTTTTGTGAAATTCTTTAAAGCGGCCTTTTAACTTGATAAAGAAATGATAATAATCATCTATCACGAGAGTTACATCTCATATCAGATCTAGAGGGCACATGAACCTTTTGATTTTGATTTTCAAAGCAATGTTCGATGCGAGTTACTCTGTTACTAGAAATACATGTAGCATAAATGTGTGGAATGCTTTCAAAACGCGAATCCTCAGGAGACTAAATTTTGATCTCAATAAATTACAGCATATCTTGTATTAATAAATATTAAAGTAGATTCAATAAGGATGCTTGTTCTATCGATCAATGTTGCGAGAGCGCAAAGATGTACATGAAGGTAACAAAGATCTTTTAATGAGATTTGGTACCAACATTTTTACCTCCTAACCATAGAGTTTGACATACTTTTGAATAAAATTAACCTTGGGCATAATTTTTGAACAGTACAGCTGGTGCTTGGGCTTTCACATTTGACATGTGTATTCCTTGGGACCTACAGTACCTGGCCATAATACAGTACGCAAAATGGCCGCCGTTATAAAAATATACGTGCACACTTGCAGTTTTGAATGTTGTTTTTTCAAATTGATATATAATAAAAATTTATCCTTCCTTACTAATACTTGGTTATGTAACCTTTTGCTTTTATAACAGCTTGTAATCGTGTTGGTATTGATATGTACAGTTTTCTAATCGTCTCCAAATCGATAGAGGCCCATATGTCCTTCACAATACGCACTAGGTCTTCGCGTTTTTTAATTTCGTCCATGCGATGTTCTAATCTGATCTTAATTGTCCTCCACACATTTTCAATTATGTTAATGTCTGGTGATTGACTAGGCCAGGTAAGTGTAGGGATGTTGTTTGTCGTTTTCCATTCAACTGTCTGTCTGGACTGGTGCACCGGACAATTATCCTCCTGTAGAATCCAGGGACTTGCAGGAAACTCCTTTGCAACAAGAGGCCACAAATGATAATCTAGGACCGAAATATATTTCTCGGAGTTTATATTTCCTTCTACTTCAGTCAAAGTTCCAACACCATTAAAAGATAAACACCCCCAGAACATAGCCGATATGCCGGAGCGGGGCGAATGACTACTATACTGTCCAAGACAATCGGGTTGAAATCTTTCTCCAGGTTTTCTCCAGACGTAAATTTTTCTATCCTTTCCTAAAACAACTTTCATCTCATCACTAAAAATGACCTGACTCCAGTTTTCCTCCACTGTCCACCCTAATTTGGATCGACACCACAAAACACGGTTTTGGCGATTTGGTTTCGAGATTGTTATTTTCTTTGAAACGGAGCATCTTTGATATTTCTGTTCTTTT